AATATTGCATGAATATTTCAATATGGCGACATATGCAATATATTGCAGCAATATTGTGCAAATATTATAAGTTTAATATTTTGTTGGAGACATTGCAAAATATTACTGCTATATTATAATGCAATCACATATTCTTTTATACATTTTATAATGTGTTAGGCAATACAACAGATATGGAGAAATGGTTAACTCAATTTATTAATGAAAATGTTTTTAGATGAATACAAAGTATAGTTGCTAATAACATTATAGTGCAAGATTAATTTCCAATTTTACGTTTTGTACATCATCGTCATGAAGTAATCGAAATGTCAAAGACTGCTTACAAAACTTTCAGAAAAAATTAAGTATAGAATGATGTATATTAATCCAAAGTCTAATTGTTTTTTAATTTTTATCATGTCGTAATGGTATAACAATATATTTATTTTCTATTTTTCTAATTGTCCATATTTTACATATTATTTGTTTTACAGACCAATGATATAATGTATTATTTTCTAAGACTACAAATATCGGTAGTATGGCTGAGGAACATGGCTTTTCATGTATGCTACTGACAATGTTAAATTTTCGCCCTATAATATAAATATCATTTGTTTGTTTCTTCACAAATATTTAAAACGCTTATAATTGTTTTATCGTCTAACATGAGAATATTATTATTAACATCATCACAATTAAAATAATATGCGTTATTTTGCAATATCTTATATTGTATTACGATTTTTTGTGGAAATTCAGGTACAAGGGGCCCGTAATGATGTTCATGTTTCACTTGATACGTAGGAACTAGTAATTGCTCTTGAAACATTACAGACTGCTGTTCATCGTATCTTCGTGCCAATTGTTGCAAAGGTTTTTCAGGTTTTCTAATTAGTTTCTTCAGACTTCCCAAAAAATTTTCGAATGGAAAGGCACTAAAGTTATCCAATATTCCATTTCTTCTTACTTCATTACTTAAATGAATTAAATTGTGCACGTTGTGCGAGACAAATTGTTTGCTGTACAGAACTTGAAAACCTTTCACGAAGTTAACCAGCAATTCTTCAGCGTACTTTATATTTTCATTGTTTGTAATTAATGTTGGAGATATTAGTATGGAGATGGCAACATGTAGCGTTAGAAAATGTTCATATATTTCCTGTTTTAAAATTGATTTCAAAACAATGGGCCCTGTATACAACAGAAATTGTCGGAATTCAGTGGCCTTCCAATATTTAATTTCTGACAGACTTCTGGGTTTCCTCGAAATCTCTTTTGGTATCGAATTTTTCAGTGCAATTAAACGTTGGGAAATTAGATTTGTGTTTGTATTACCAATTCTTACTGTCAATGGTCCTTTCATCCATAACAATAATAACTTCTTTGTAACACCTAAACAAACTAGATGCATATAATCTAGTGCAACTGCTGACACCAGGCCAATATTCGGTATTTGCAGTAACAATGTCTTTCCTTGATGGTATTTTTCATCAGTCTGTTGTAAAAAGTCTTCATCAGTTCTGAGATAAGTCTTATTAGTGTAAGGGAAGCATGTAGTATTGTTTATACTTTTTTCTATAATAGTGCATTTAGAACAACTCGAAAATCCAGTATGACTTTTTGTATACAAAACAAATGATTTTGCAGGAGTATCACAAATAATTGTGGAAAGAGTTACACTTATACGACGTGTGCTATACATAAATCCGTCTTTTATAAGTATCTTCAGTTCATAAATAAATTGTTCAAGGAAATCGTTTGCCGATGTTGGTTTACCTGATCCATAATATGCTCCTATCATATGGACGGATTTAAAAATTTCATCAGATATTAAAATTAACCAAAGACAATAAGATGAAGACCTTGAAATTGGTAAACCATCGACATTCATAGAAAGAGTTATGCTGTCAACAGCAAGTTTAGCATCAATATATTTTTCCATTAATAAATTCAGCACATTTAATAATCCAAAATGTAAATATTCTCCACCTGCAATATTTACACAGTTTGTTGTACGAGGTGTATGTAACAAAGTTCTGGCATCTTTGGGTAAGAAACAATTTGGAATATATTTTAAAAGCAAATGTAATAGTTCACTTATTGCTTTATGTGAGATGTTATTACATAGAGCCCATTCACGCAAATCTGGACTAAAACTTTCCACGTCTTCATTATCAGATTGTGTATCTGTATCAGATATCTTATTTACATTTGAATCATCATCAAAAATATAGTCATTATATTCATTGTTGTCATTCATTAATTCTTTCCAATATTCCTTATTATCTATTTCTAGGTTGTCACTTGAAAAGTCAAGTAATTGCATATTGCTTTCATCTTCAAATTCAAAATAAATCTGGAGTTTATCATCAAAATCCTTTTCTAAACTTGTAGCCAATAATTCATTGTTTGTGATACGGATTACTTCTGCTTCATCATCAACATACGCAAAACCGCTGTTTAATGAATTATTATGGAAAATGTTAGATGGATCTTCCAGTCTATTATTATTTAACTGCCGTCTATATCGTAAATAATGATAAACTTTTGCGATATCTTTCTTGATAATTCGTCTTTGATGTCTACGTGAACATTGTTCAAAAGGTTTCCTTCTGTACTCTTATCTTCCATGATTTCTCAGATCTAAAATATTATGGTAGAATTATAATAAGAAACAATTTAAAAGCATTCTATTTTACTGTATTTAAAAAGAAAACAATAACTTACTTGAATGCGTATATATAAGTACAGTCAAATGTAAATGAACTTGAAGGTTATGTTTCACAGTAATAATTTAATATAAAAATAATATTAAAATGATATATCCGTGACTAAGTTAATGTCGTCTTACACAATTCTGTTTTTTCATAACACACTTTATTTCTTTTCTACATCAAGTTATATATTGCAAAGAAATAATACATGCATTAACAAGTATGGAGCAGCAACACAGTTGGCAGTATTTATGTTTGTTCTTTTTCGGTTGTACTGGGATTGCACTAAGTGGCTAAATTCGACAGGTCTTACCTAACCTTACCCTCACCCAGTTCCAATGTAACCGAAAAAGATCTATATTGTCTGATCAATCACGGCATTGCGCGGTATTTACGCGCGATTATTTGCGATCATCAGTGGATTCAGTGCCAGTGTGCCAGTTAACGTTTAACGAGCAATGATATAAGCAGATACAAGTTAGTGCGTGTCGAATACAAGCTGGTGTGAATAGAGTCTAAGCATCAACATTGAGTAATTATGTGTTGGAAATTCAGGTACAAGGGGCCCGTAATGATGTTCATGTTTCACTTGATACGTAGGAACTAGTTATTGCTCTTGAAACATTACAGACTGCTGTTCATCGTATCTTCGTGCCAATTGTTGCAAAGGTTTTTCAGGTTTTCTAATTAGTTTCTTCAGATTTTCCAAAAAATTTTCGAATGGAAAGGCACTAAAGTTATCCAATATTCCATTTCTTCTTACTTCATTACTTAAATGAATTAAATTGTGCACGTTGTGCGAGACAAATTGTTTGCTGTACAGAACTTGAAAACCTTTCACGAAGTTAACCAGCAATTCTTCAGCGTACTTTATATTTTCATTGTTTGTAATTAATGTTGGAGATATTAGTATGGAGATGGCAACATGTAGCGTTAGAAAATGTTCATATATTTTCTGCTTTAAAATTGATTTCAAAACAATGGGCCCTGTATACAACAGAAATTTTCGGAATTCAGTGGCCTTCCAATATTTAATTTCTGACAGACTTCTGGGTTTCCTCGAAATCTCTTTTGGTATCGAATTTTTCAGTGCAATTAAACGTTAGGAAATTAGATTTGTGTTTGTATTACCAATTCTTATTGTCAATGGTCCTTTCATCCATAACAATAATAACTTCTTTGTAACACCTAAACAAACTAGATGCATATAATCTAGTGCAACTGCTGACACCAGGCCAATATTCGGTATTTGCAGTAACAATGTCTTTCCTTGATGGTATTTTTCATCAGTCTGTTGTAAAAAGTCTTCATCAGTTCTGAGATAAGTCTTATTAGTGTAAGGGAAGCATGTAGTATTGTTTATACTTTTTTCTATAATAGTGCATTTAGAACAACTCGAAAATCCAGTATGACTTTTTGTATACAAAACAAATGATTTTGCAGGAGTATCACAAATAATTGTGGAAAGAGTTACACTTATACGACGTGTGCTATACATAAATCCGTCTTTTATAAGTATCTTCAGTTCATAAATAAATTGTTCAAGGAAATCGTTTGCCGATGTTGGTTTACCTGATCCATAATATGCTCCTATCATATGGACGGATTTAAAAATTTCATCAGATATTAAAATTAACCAAAGACAATAAGATGAAGACCTTGAAATTGGTAAACCATCGACATTCATAGAAAGAGTTATGCTGTCAACAGCAAGTTTAGCATCAATATATTTTTCCATTAATAAATTCAGCACATTTAATAATCCAAAATGTAAATATTCTCCACCTGCAATATTTACACAGTTTGTTGTACGAGGTGTATGTAACAAAGTTCTGGCATCTTTGGGTAAGAAACAATTTGGAATATATTTTAAAAGCAAATGTAATAGTTCATTTATTGCTTTATGTGAGATGTTATTACGTAGAGCCCATTCACGCAAATCTGGACTAAAACTTTCCACATCTTCATTATCAGATTATGTATCTGTATCAGATATCTTATTTACATTTGAATGTCGACCGTTAGTTTCGACAGAAGTTGGACGTTTTTAAGCAGTGCCGAAAAATAAAAATTTAAAAGATGGAGTCAACATCTGATTCTCCAACAAATAAAAATATCAAAATTGTGAATTTCTAACGCATGAAATTCAAACGAAATATTTTTATTTATAGGGCATTGTGAATTTGTTGTTTATATAATTATTATTTTACTAATTAACATATTTCTTACGATTAAATTAAACATTGTTCATTTTCTTCTGTTTTTTATAGAAAGCAATTTATGTTATTATGAAAAACTCGCACAATATTTATTTATTTGATGCTAAAATGTTGCTGAGAACGAAAAAAATAAAATTATACAGAAAAAAATTACACACGGGGATTCTAACCAGCGACCCCGCGCTTACAAGACCTGAGCGCTACACGCTCAGCCACACGGTCGCTTCGATTATCGTTTATCGCGAAGCGGTTAAGTCGTGCTGGAAAATCTTTCATAATTTTTTTTTGGACGAATGCGTGAAAAGCGCGCGCTAAAACTTTAACACAATTTCTTTCTCATTAAGAACTATTCATAGAAAAATCACCGCTTGAATCTAAGATGGGCACGTCTGGCCTTCCCCTTGTTAGTAGCATGGATCGTACTGGGTGAATCAATAAAACCATTTATAAAATCTTTTATAAATCATATAAAATTATATTAGCATTTATTATCATTACATCTTTTATATTTCTTTTTCTTTTTATATTTTTAATCTTTTCCAGGATTTTGTCAAGCTTCTCTATTAATTTAAATTTTGTCTCCATTCTTTCCTTGTGCCTTCTTTCTTTTTCCAGCTCAGCCATTCGACGACTTTCCAAAATTGCTTGAGCAATATCATTAGTTTTACGTTTACCTAAAAATAAATAAATTTTTAAAGCACTTCTCTGTGTAATTCAGCCAATGGTTGCGTTCGGCAGAATGCAGCAATAAGCGATTGGATTTGATTGGTATATTTCAAAGTATTAATTAATCATGCTATTGGCTTAAACCAATGCATTTTGTTGAACGCATTCATGACTAAGAAACACACTTAACTTACGAGGAACATGATCATTATCATCTAAAACTATATCAGAAATAGCACAGCTGTTCACACTGGAGGAGCTTGAAACGGAGCTAATGCTTGCGGACCTGCCTCTTGATGTTGCAGCACCAGTAGATGAAACAGTTGATAATGGCGCCATGTATGGCTTTTCGCCGAGAAAGCGTTCCATAACCTGAACAGTTAATATAGCATTAAAGGCAACAATATATATGTTTAGAAACTTAAAAAATGGTCACTCTTCTTTCTTTTATATCATATACTTACTTCAAAATATTGCCATGTCCGCTTATTGTTACCGGACTTTCCGTTGTGATCTTTGACGGCTTTGTATGTTTGTTTCATGGTATTAATTCTAGTGGTGCATTGCTTGCTTGTCACAAAATACCCATTAGCATTCATCACTTCAGCAATTTGATCCCATGCCTTTTTATGGGTAATTTTTCCAGAAGACATGTTTTCCTCCCGCTGTCTATATTCTTCTAACAAGAGCATTATAGCTGCATGAGGCCATCTGAAACCTGGATTGCAAACCAAGTCACAAAAAAGTTGTAACATTCACAAAACGTTACAATAACAAACCATATTTTAAAATTTTCTTACCATCCACCGATGATTCCTCCTCTCCATTTTTTTCTCGAGAAATGTCCATTTCAGTATCTACGAAAAAAGCACATATCAATTTACAAAAAAGTGTAACATGAAAGAGAAATTGTAATATCAAAAAGAAGAAACAAAAGAAAATAACAAACCAAATGTTTCTTTCACTAAAGTATTATTTGAGGAGCAGGTGGAAAATGAGGGTACATGCTGAGGTGCTTCTAAAAAAAAACAATCTTGTGAAATAAAAATGCCATAACTGATAGTTAATACAATACTTATTATCAAATTATGTACCATTTTGAATCAAAGTTTGACGTGCAACATTCAACAAGGTAGTCGCAAAAGTTATATCTGGAAGCAAATAATCATGACAATAAAGTAGAACAAAGAGACAGATGCAAATAGAATAAACACTTCAAAATTAAATCAGCAATATAATAAAAAAAACTTATTGAGTAATTGAGTTACTAAGGCCGTACTACACAAAAGTAAATGAAAAATTATTTCAAAATGACTAGCAGGAATATATGTAACAGAACACATATTTTTTTAACATGCAATTAGATAAAATAGTAAAGAAAATCTAAGCAATCCGCGGTTAAAATGTAAATATTAAACAATTTTAATCTAGCACTCTTACCAGTTTGTGCTCTAGGAGCATCATTCTGAGACAGTTTAATTTTGAACTGCTCTTCAGATTCGGCGTCCTGAAGATTTACTTCAACATAATAGTCATCCATAATGCAAAATCAAATCAATCAAATCAGTAATGCAAATCGCAAATCAAAAGTCACGTCTAAACTTGTACTAAAAATGTACATATGTACAACTTAAATTGATAGTGCTACCACTGTTCAGAGAGCTCACAAACGCTAACGCTATTGTTACACCACCTCGGAAGGAATAGCGTTGATAGCGCGCAGTTATGACGTAGCACACTACCATTAATAACGTCATGATTGCGTTTGATAGCGCTACCAGCTAGCTCCGCAAACAGCCGATAGCGCTAAATAGCGCGAATAGCGTCTCTCCGAACGCACCCTAAGTGGCTAAATTTGACAGGTCTTACCTAACCTTACCCTCACTATCACACAGTTCCAATGTAACCGAAGAAGATCTATATTGTCTGATCAATCACGGCATTGCGCGGTATTTACGCGCGATTATTTGCGATCATCAGTGGATTCAGTGCCAGTGTGCCAGTTAACGTTTAACGAGGATTCGAGCGACACCTGTGAAAGTGAGAACACGTGCCTTGAGTGCCTCTTGTTAATTCGTTTGATAGTAATTATAACCGCCTTCTTCGAGTGCCTCTGCTTCGCCTATAATAACGCTTTATGCTGATTCGCTCGGATCACGCTGAGAACAGTTATCTCCTGCTTTGCTTGTGCGCTGTTTCCTGTGTGCCTTGTACATTCTGTAGTGCGCAGTAATTCGCCATCTTGGCCGGCCGGTCTCCCGGTCGAGCCTTTTCAATCGCAAGCATGTCGATCCAAGATCCCACGAGGGATCCCGCTTTTAAGACAAATCTTTTAACGACTGACGCCTTAACTGTAACAGTTAATAGTATATTGACAAATAATGACGAAGATAAACTCGATTTGATCGCATCCTCTCTCCCTCCGTTCCCTCCGGAATCCGATGATGTGATGGAGGCGGAAATGAAAATCGAACCAAATAATAATATTCTTCCTGCTTTAAGGGACATCCTTCCGATCGGTGAGGATTGTGGCATCCAGCCTTTGGAGACTTTGGAGACTGCTAAACCAAAAACCAAAAAACGTAAGAAACTAGAGAAGGAAAAAGCGCCTCTCTTCACAAATGATGGTAATGAGACGAGTGGGGGGACGGCCTGCGTCAGGGTAAGCCTTCTCCTTCTGACCATCTCTTTAATAAAGATGGGCTTGACTTGTCATTCCTTATGGATGCGAATAGATATGACAGGACCTCGCAGGGTCCTTACGATGTCATTATACAGACTCCGGAGGGTTCTCCCTCCTCAATTGACCCCATCGTTGTAGGTCGCCTCTTGTATTCTATCTCCAAAAAAGATATAGTAGAAATTAAAAAGACAGGCTTCTCAAAAATCAGTATTTAGTTGAAATCCAGAGAAGCGGCAAATAACCTAATTACTAACCCAATACTCAAGGCCAAGAAATACAATGCATTTATACCTTTGTTTACGACTACGAGGAAGGGAATAATTCGAAACGTTCCACTTGACCTCTCGGACGAGGAGATATACAGGGGAATAGACTGTAGTATAGCAATTTTCTCCGTGAGGAGACTGAACAGAAGGGAAAGGGGTCAGAGGCATCCGCTCTCCATGGAAAAACTCAGGGATTGGGCCTGGTCCCCTCCAAAACAATATCCGTCGTCTTTAAAGGACAGATCTTGCCAAGGTATTTATACTTATACATGGTCCGACATCCAGTCGAACCTTTCGTTTCTAAAACCTCTTTTTGTTATACGTGCCTGCGCTTTGGGCACCTGAAGTCCCAATGCAAGGGCCACCCCCGTTGTCAACATTGCGGGGATAGGGCACATGAGGAGGCAACCCAATGCCCAAAAAGAGATGGCCCTCCATTTTGCATAAATTGCAAGGGCCCGCATAAGGCCACAAGCTTCGCTTGTCCGGAGTATGTTGTGCAGAAAAAAATTAGAGAGTTAGCAGCATACGAAAATATTTCCCTAATCGAGGCTAGAAATCGAATTAGAGGTAACAACAATGAAGCCCCTAACTCAATACACAATTTTAGTGAGTATCCGTCACTGAGCGGCACTCCCCCCTCTACGCCCTTCCCTCTTTCCTTCCCTGCTTCATCCACATTCCCCTCTTCTTCCTCAGCCCCTCCTTCCCCTCTCCCTCCTTCTTCATCATATTCACAAATCCTAAATCCCAACAGAAAAAAATTATCAACCTCTGCCTCACTTCACATTTCATCTCCTATGCCGTCCCCCCTCTTATCACACCCTTAAAAAAAACCTCCGAGCAGTACCAATCCTTCCCTCCCATCCTTCCCACGTTCGACTACCGGAACTTCCTCCTCCAATCTTTTCCCATCCCATAATTCCCTACTAATCTCTCCTAACTTGATTCCCATCCTCCTCGGATTATGGTGTCTCCTCCAGGCATTTTATCCTTCCTCCCACCAACCCTGTTCCATCTCAAACCTCAAAAAGCAACCTAAACTTTAATTTTAACCCAGAGCTATACAATCAGCTATTCAATCTCATTAACCTAATCATGGAAAAGCTCTCCCCGGCACTGAGACTTCTTGGCCTGTACGACGCAGTGTCGGAATTCATGAACTCTTTACTATTATCCATAAACCTCCGCAACCCCAGGTTCAACTGTCCAAATGCCGGGATCACCTCGGAATAACCTATCTCAGAATCAGTCTCTTAGGATCCTACAATGGAACTGCCATTCGCTAGCGAACAAAATAGATCCGGTAAACACCTTGTTTCAGCGGTATGATGTCTTGGCCTTGTCGGAGACTTGGCTGAACTCTGGATCTCGGGTGAACCTGCGTGGTTTTGAGGTGTTCCGGAGGGACTCGCTGACCCGCAATAGCGGGGGCTTGCTTCTGGCCGTCCTCCATTCTGTGTCGTATTCTGTCATAGACGATTGCGTTCAGTTCGATGGGGGGCTAGAATGCATGGCCATGGTTGTCCACTACGAGCTTTTCGATCTTGCCATTGTCTCGGTATATAGACACCTGCAGGAATCGCTTTCGAAGCAGGAATACGACTCCTTGTTTGCCTTTTGTGGTTCTTTTACTCATGTGATCCTTTTGGGCGACTTGAACGCTCACCACAGCGAGTGGGACTGTGACCGGTCGAGTAGGGAGGGAGTCACCCTGCTCTCCTCGGCATTGGATTCTTCCTTCACCTGCATCAATGACGGATCCCACACCTTTTTGACGCGCCCGGGTCAATCCAGATCCGCAATAGATCTCTCCTTCGTTTCTCCGCCGATTATCGACCACTGTGAGTGGAACATATTGGAGGATACTCACTTAAGTGACCATTATCCAATTGAAATCAGATTTAACCACTTCTTGAGGAAGAAAGAATTTTTCTCGCACAGGATAAGATTGTCATCGAGAGAGAGGGAACAGTTCGTGGTCAATCTGGGCACCAGCACCGGAGTCCTTAGGAAGGCTATCGACGAGCCCTCTCTGAACGGACTGGATAAGTACGAGACCTTTCTCAGTCATCTAAAGAGCCAGTTGCCTCTCAAACCAGGGGCAAACCGCCGCCGGGGCTCCTCTGGTCGGTCGTCCCCGCACGGGCGAAGAGCCTCCCTTCCGGCTCCGTGGTGGAGCGAGGCCTGCCAGGAGGCGGTGGACCTCAGGCGCGAGCTTCTGTCGACCTTTAAGAGGTCTCCGTCATATGCTAACTTCCTTGCATTCAAGAGGCAGGAGGCCGTTTCGAGAAGAGTGTTGAGGGGGGAAAAGAGGAAGGGATGGAAGGAGTTTTGTAAGAACCTCACACCAAACACTTCCATTGCATCAGTTTGGAAGATAATAAAGCGGTTCAAGAATCGCCACCTGGGTATCGCTCCCCCTCCCCCTTTCTCCAACTGTACGATCTCGGACAATATGCGAAATTCAATGGACTCCATGTGTCCTCCGGCTTCTGTACACAGAAGATTCTTCTCGCTCGATGACTTTCCCACGATACATAATTGTAATATGTTCGAGTCCCCTTTCACATATGAAGAACTTTTGTCGGCGATCTGTGCTGCCAGGAAGCGTTCCTCTCCGGGTATAGATCGGATCGATTATGGCATAATTTCGGCCTTACCGGAGGAGTATCTGATGATCCTCCTGGATATATTTAACGAGCTCTTGAATGGGGGACTGTTTCCTCCCTCGTGGCACCACTCTCTTGTCTTCCTTATCCCTAAATCCACTCCAGGGAAGCTGCGCCCCATCTCACTCACATCTTGTCTGTTAAAGATTGTAGAGAGGATGATCCTGACGCGCCTACAATGGTGGATCGAATCCTCGAATATTCTTCCTTCCACTCAGTTCGGTTTTCGTAAGAGAAGGTCGTGCCTGGATAACCTGGGCATACTGACCACGGAGATTTACAACGGCTTTGTGTCTGGACAATACACGGCCTGTTTGTTTTTGGACATCCATGGAGCATTCGACAACGTTGTGCCAAACATTTTAATCGAGGATCTCATAGGCATAGGACTTCCTCCCAAAATCTGTTGGTTTATTTACCAATTCACGAATCATAGAAATATCCAATTCGTCAACAACGGAGAGATTTCCTCGGTTTACACATCGATCAGGGGCGTCCCACAGGGATCGATATTGAGCCCCCTTTTGTTCAATCTCTACGTCTCGAAATGTGGGCGGTGTCTCCTTGGAGGGCCTTGGAGAGAACGGCGAACAATCTCTCACAATTTCTGCTCTCTAGGGGCCTGTCGGTGTCTCCTGCCAAATCGGCGCTCATTGTTTTCAGTAGAAAAAGGATTTCTCCTCTCAGTTACACAATAACCCTCGAAGGCATCACCATCAACTCCTCTCGCTCGCACAGGTTTCTCGGAGTTTTACTTGACCATTCATTGGGGGAACAGGAGCACGTTCGCGGTCTGGCGGAGAGATGTGGAAAACTCGCCAATATTCTGAAGGCACTGAGCGGGGTTTGGTGGGGGGCGGACCCGAGGACCCTGCTTAGTATATTTAAGGCCTTGGTGCGTAGGTCGGTCGAATATGGA